GTAAATATATATATATATATATAAAGTAGCCATAAATCTTCAACCTAGAGAAAACATGTTTACAGGTAATATTTTGAGATAGTGCTTTTTTCCTCTCAGAAAGCAATCACACCATGTAAAACCTCTAACCTGAAAGCTACAAAACATTGCTGAGAGAAAACAAAACCTAAGTAAATTGATGGTTATGCCATTTTCATAGACTGGGACATTTAATACTGTTAAGATGGCTTACTGTTAAAATTCTCTCCGAAATGACCAAGAGATGCATCATAATTGCTAATTATATTCCTGGCAGGCTTTGTAAAAACCAAAATTAATTGATTCTAAAATTTACATGAAAATGCAGAAAACCTGGAATAGCTGAAACTATCTTGAAAAAGAAAAGTTGGAGGATTTACATTACCTGAGTTCAACTATAGAGTTATAATGAAAGCCAGTGTGATACTAGGATAAGGATAGACAAATAGCCGAAGCCGGTTTGGCTCAGTGGATAGAGCATCGGCCTGGGAACTGAGGGGTCCCAGGTTCGATTCCGGTCAGGGGCATGTACCTGGGTTGCGGGCACATCCCCAGTGGGAGATGTGCAGGAGGCAGCTGATGGATGTTTCTCTCTCATCAATGTTTCTAACTCTCTATCTCTCTCCCTTCCTCTCTGTAAAAAATCAATAAAATATATTTTAAAAAAAAGGATAGACAAATAGGTCAATGGCAGAGAATAACAAGTCCAGAAATAAAGCTATGCTTTTATGGTGAATTCATATTTTATAAAAGTGCCAAAGCAATCCAATGGAGAAGGGACAGTCTTTTCAACAAATGATGTTGAAACAACTAAATATCTTTGGGTGGTGGACACACAGATCATGTAACATAGAAATCCACACCTAAAACCTATATGATCCTATTAACCAGTGTCACCCCAATAAATTTAATAATAATAAAAAAAGAAACAATTAAAAACTAAATTCCATAAAGTAAAAAATTAACCTGACCCCTACCTCACACCAAATAGAAAAAATTAGTTTAAGATGAATTTTATACAGAAACATAAAAACTAAAGATACAAAGCTTCTAGAGAAAAATACCCTGGGGGTGAGCAAACATTTCTTTAAACAAGACATAAAAATCAATAACCATAAAATACAAGTGAACAAAAAAAAACAACCTCTTGATAATTAGATTTTATCAAAATTAAAGACTGCTCATCCAAAGACAGTTAAAATAATGAATAGGGAAACAATGAACTGGGAGAAAATATTTGCAACACATAATTCTGACAAGGATTTATATCCAGGGTATTTTTATAAAGGACTCAAATTCAATAATAAAAGAACTCAGTAAGGAAAATGAGCAAAAGATTTGGACAGACACTTCACAAAGTAAATAGCACATGAAAAGTGTTCAATGTCATTAGTCATCTGGGAAACACATATTAAAACCAGTTTGGAGATACCACCAAAATGGCTAAAATTAAAAAGACTGACAACACCAAATGTTGATGATGATGTGAAGTAATCAGAACTCTCATACATTGCTGGTGGGACTGCAAAATGGTAGTCACTTTGGAAAAAGATTTGGTAGTTCCAATTTTATAAAAGTTATAGACACAACTTCTTTGATCCAGCAATTCTATTCCTAGGTATTTATCCAAGAAAAATACTAACCTGTCCAGGCAAATCCTTGCACAGGAATGCTTATAGCAATGTTATTCATAATAGCCAGAGTGAAACCAAATGTCCATTAACAGGAAAAGACAAACTGTGGTATATTCATACAATGGAATATTACTCAGCAATAAAAAGACATAAACCACATGAATAAATGACATAAAAAGGAACAACTTGGACCAATATCAAACAGTATGCTCAGCCAAAAGAAGCTGGACACAAAAAAGTATATATTGCATAATTCCATATATGTAAAGTCCTAGAACAGGCAAAACTCACCTATGGTGAAAAAAATTAAAACAGTGGGGGTGAAATCAGAGGTTGTAGGCAAAAACTGACTAGGAAGGGGCATGAGGAAACTTTCTGAGGTAATGACAATATTTTATATCTTACAAAAATTATATGATTAGAACTGGTACATTATAGTATATCTGAAGTTTACTTAAAAATGAAATATTAAAAGCTAATCAAGTAATGAGAGAGGAGTGTAAGTGGAGATTAGATGAAACAAGAATGGCAAAATGTTTATAATTGTTGAAGCTAGATGACAGGTACATGAGGGCTCATATACAGAATATCTGTATATTCTGTATATGTTAAAATGTTTTAATAAAAAGCTTTTAAAGAAGAGGATCATGTGGTTCTTATTACTTTGTAACAACAATGAATGCATTTTTCTTTTTTACACTGACTTTCAGTTAGTAAGAAGAAAAAGTTGGGATTCCTGATTCTTTATCCTAAAAGTCCTATCCCCAATTACCTGCCTGAGAAATTTCTTTTCCATGCTTCAAACCTAGATGAGGTATCACTTCCTCTCTGCAGCCTTTCGTAACCCCACTCCTTTTTCTATTTTAATTCCTTACATATGAAAAATTGAGTACTTTCATTAGCATTCAGATAACACTACATTTTAACTGTCTATTTACATGTATGTCTCTCTCCTACTAAATGTGGTGTCATCTTTTTCTTTGATTCCTAATGACAAGTACAGTGCCTGGAACTCCTCTGTGATAAGATTTGGGCATCAAACCTAGGATCTTCCCTATTAAAAGGCCATTAGAACGTAAGATTAACTAAGACCCTGTAAATACTTGTGGCAGTAACCTAGCCGTAAGTAGTAACTAAGTAACTGATTAACTCAGCAGTGGGGGGCTAGGGGGGTGTCCAGGAATAGATGGGCAATTGGGTTTTCCCTAAACTGAGCTGTCTTCGTTAAATTTTGCTCTTCCAGTTCCCTTGGGGAAAAGGCTAAAGGCTCTTCACTTTTTGAGGAAGAAACAAAAGAACACAGGGGCACCTGGTACTACTTCTAATGTAGCAGAAAGTCACCTTTTCCCTAGGATACCCAATAACGTTACCAGGGTTTCATAGTGTGAGGGTAAGAGCCCAGTCAATTTACAAATAGGACAAGATGCATGCAATCTTCCCCAAAAGGGAATAAATCATTTCTTCTCTACATACCAGATCCCTTGGCAAGGATTATATAAAATGCACATAACCAATATAGAGCAAAAAGGCTTTGTGAGCAGAAGAGAAAGGAGGTGAGACTAAAAGGGAGGCATTAAAAACAAAACACTGGTTTTAAGCAATCCACTAAAATGCCATGTCATCAAAAATTCTATTACATAAGATAAAGTGTACTTGTTACATTTTCATTTAGAATAACATAAGATATTCATGTTGCCCTAACTCCTGATATATGTTCAACTTAACCATTTTGGATTACTTGTATCTCTATAACCTTTTATTAATAGCAAATAATTAAGCTATGTCTTAATCCAGCATAGAGTACAAGCCATCTCAAATTTAAACTTCCTGTTTGTTTTTCTCATGTTAGAAACATTTGTCTTTCTTGTTAACTAACTATATATTCCTCTCATCTTTTTCTTCCGTTTTATTGAATTTATTGGGGAGAAATAGGTTAATAAAATTACATAGGTTTCAGGTATACAAGTCTATAATACATCATCTGTAACTTCTCTGATTCAGTTAGCTAAAATTTTCTGTCATTACCTATTTAAGAGAAATAAATGAGTAATTTTCCAACCCACTGTTAGCCCCTGCTCAAACAGCTTTATGATGTTAGGGTTATGTGACCACCAATGATGATGTGTGTAATAAAATGAATAATAGATCTCATTGAATCCACTGGGGTATCATTAAGGCAAATTGCTCTTCCAGGGCATTACACAGCTTTAAAAGATAGAGTGTATCTCCTTACACTGAACCTGTCCCTGAGTTATTTCTTAACATTTTCCTCTTCATGTTCTAGGAACCCTTGGATAATATAATTTCAGTTTGTTACAAAGACTCATGTTCACTAAATATTTTATTTTTAGTAAAGACCCAAAATAGAATCTCCTAAATCCCAACCACTTTTCCTGCCCAATAATTAGAGTCAACTATTAATTAACTGCAGAAAACGAGGAAGGTGGTGATGAGAATAATCGCTACTGATTTGTGCTTTGGAATTACATGTACTTACATATGATATTAACCTCCTAAATGATAGACTCAGTCTTTGAAAATATCAAGATGAGTTTGATTTTTTCAGAGCACACACTAACCAATATAAGTGGAAAAATGCCATCTCTACAAGCATCCTAGGTGACAAGAAAAAAGAAGCCTAGAATCTATACCTTGTTACAAGTAATCCACAGAATAGACAATATACATATGGATCAATAAAAAGCTGGGGTATCATTAGGGCAAATTGCTCTTCCAGTGCATTACACAGCTTTAAAAGATAGAGTGTATCTCCTCAAACTGAACCAGTTCCTGAGTATTAACTCACTTTGTGTTAACTCACTGATATGTGCCTCTATAGTAGGGAATTCCCACCTTGCAGGATGGCTCCCAAGGATGTCACCATTGACTTCCACTTAGCAAAGAACTTTACAAATGTTGTACTAAGAATTCTAAGTATGGCTGTTTTATATACACACACACACACACACACACACACACACATATATATCCCTATCTTCATCTTTGTGTCTTGTCCTAAAATCCCCAGGTTCCAACTAGGAGTGCCTCAGCAGGTCAATGAAGGCTCTCCAGTGGCAAAGGGGTCTCTGATCTGGTCCGATCTTGCTGAGAACACTGGGAATTAAGGAAAAGGGATAGAAATCACATACAACTAGATGTCAAAAGCAATTAGAAGTAGGGAGTAAAAATGGATAAGAAAGAGAAATGCAAAAAAAAGCCGTCTACACTAGAGTTGCTGTAGTTTTATAAAAGATTTAACTCAGGCAAATAAGGAAAAAAGAGTACTTCCTATCATAACAGAACAAACGCCTCTTGGCCACATATTGCCCCTTCTAAGTTAGGCACCATAGGCTGATGATTTGTCTAGGCCCACTTCTTCCTCCAATCCCTAAATAAATGAGTCAGAGATGCTTCTCTATTACTCCTCCCATCTCCCCAATACTCCTCCCAAACCTATGCCCCCAAAGTCACTGCATCCCATGCTTTATCAATGAGCAGCATTAAATCTCCAATTCCCTCGCATAGCAAAGGACAACATGAAAAGACACACCTGCATCTGTGTGAAAATCTGAGCTTTCTGGCATTCTTCCAAACTGGGCCCAAAGGCAGCCATCACGTGCTCCTCTGTTCCAATCATCTGCACAATTTCTTGGTCACACTCAACACCCATGGCCTAGGAAGGAAAGAAAGGAGAGAAAGAGTGTTGGCTTTGTGTTAACTCACTGACATTTGCTTATGCTAATTTGGCATTGTTTGTGGGTATTACTTCTAAGCAAAAGCTAGCTCTTTCCTCAGAAATGGTGCCATCTGGCATTGGCAGCCAAAGCCCAAGCTGCAGAAGAACCTGAAACAGAAATTTTGATTAGGAAGAGGAAAACAAACATTCTCAAGCACTTTCTGCATGTGTACTATCTTCTAAAATTTATAAATATTCTATGAGTTTCATCATGAAAAAAAGGAGGCGAAGAGATACAGTGGAGACACTGGTCACAATTACAAAGGCAAACTGGAAAAAAAAAAAGAAAAAATTAAAAAAAAATAGCCAAAGAGCAAATCAGAAAATGTGCAATGCTGAAAATAAACAGAACCCCAATTAGCTTTGCTAAAAGAACGATATTTCTGAAAAGTGTCAAAATTCACATTCAGGCTAAAAGAATTTTTCCTAAGGGATGTTTTACCTCACTCTTCTAGATACTAAGCTATACTTTATGCGGGTTTTAAAAGTGATCGTTTAAAAACTAAGAACACACTTAACAGGTTTAAGAAACCCACTTATCTTAAGTGTTTCAAGGTGGCAGCAGCAATGCAGGTCTTTGTAGATTCCATATGGTGAGAAGGCTCACTCCTTCACACACTTGCCTGGAATTCTGCCATATCAAGAAATACAGCATAATTGCACTAACCTTCCCTTTGGCAGAGAAATAATCTGCTTCTTAGAAGTTACGGGGAAAGTTATGTTTGCATTAAAATTCTTCCTTTAGCTATGTAGTGAAACAGAACCAGGAGTAACTGTCTCGTTAGGTTTTGATCCTCTGTTTCTCAGTTCTTCCTGAGAGAGAGAGAGGTTAAGTTGAATCCCAAGGTCCAATGCAGACCTTCAAGAACAGTACCCTGAATACAATGGAAAGGGCACCTCCCTGAGGTGTCCGTCCTAAAGTAATGTCAACAAACCTTATAACCACTGCTATCATGTCGCCTCTTCCACCTGTTTTCTCATTTCTGTAACAAGAGGGCACAACTAGGTCCCATTCAGCTCAAAATTCTACAATTGAATTTTAATCTGCAGTCTGTAAATTTGACGTGGATACTTTAGGATCAGAGGTAAACTTACTGAAAGTTTTGAAGTTTTTGCGGGGAGCTAAATATATGCTTATGTCCCTTTCAGGCCAACTGTAGTGGTTTAAAAAATATTCACCAATTCTTTGACACTCTCTTCAAAAGGTGAAGACTAATTCTCCTGTCCCTGAGTGTATGCCAAACTTAATGACTCACCTCTCCAGGAGAAAAGTGGAAGTGACAATATGTGACTTTGGAGCCTTGGTCATAAAAGGCACTGTAGCCTCCTGCTTTCTGCCTCTCACAGTGCTCCTCTGGGGGAAGCCAGAGTCATGTCATGAAGACACTCGAGCAATCTATGGAAAGGTCTGGTGCTGATGCCAACTGCCATGTGGTGAGCCATCATGGAAGGGGACCCACCAGCTCTAATTCAGCCTTCAGATAACTGTAGCCTTGGCTGATATCTTGACTCATGAAAGACTCTGAGTCAGAACCACCCAGCCAAGCAACTCCCAAATCCCCGACCAACAGAAACTGTGCTATAATTTGTTACCTAGGACAGATAACTAATAGACCAAATTTTGGAATTACATTCGCATTTAAACTTAAAAACATTTTTTAAGTGTATAACTTGTTCAAAATGTTTTCGTTCAGTGAACAAACAATGAAGTTCTCAGGATACAAATCTTTTTGTACTATGTTTGCATACTTTTATCTCTACTTTGCATTTATTAAAATGGACACTAGACATTCATTAAAACATGTAGCCTTTCACAGATTAAAGAAGTGTAATCCTAAAAAAATTATCACTCCTAATTTTATTTTATTTTTTTATCCATTGCAAATTTATTGTGCATTGGAAGCTTAACTTAAAAACAAACAGCACAGTAAAAAGATGTCATTTCTGTTCATAGCAGAACAAGTTTCAAAATATATTTTCTTTTAATTTATGCAGTCAGGCCCAGCCAGCATGGGTCAGTGGTTGAGCGTGAACCCATGAACCAGGGGTCATGGTTTGATTCCCAGTCAGGGCACATGCCCAGTTTGTGGGCTCAACCCCCAGTAGGGGGCATGCAGGAGGCAGCCAATAGATGATCCTCTCATCATTGATGTTTCTATCTCTCTCTCCCTCTCCCTTACTCTCTGAAATCAATAAAAAAATATTTTTAAATGTATTCAGTCAATACATAATTCTTTATGAAAGTTGTATATATAATGATTGAGCCAAGACAGCAGCAGCTGGGCTCTCCTCCTTTGAGGAGCCTGGGAGTTACTGCACTGAGCTATAAACTCGGCAGAAAGGAAGATTCTGGAGAAGTGGTCTCTCTGGAGGGGAGATGCTAGTGGCATCATTTACGGCCAAGTTTGGTAAGTAACCTTCTGCCTCCCTTCTCTTCCTCCTCCTTTTCTTCCATCTTTCTTTTTTCTCTAAAATCTCTAGATGTGACTAATGCACATCACTTCTCAGAGGAAAGCCCAAACACTAAAAGAGATCTATAAAGGACAGATACCAAATGAAGCCTGCAAAATGAGACTAGAAAATGGTCTCACTGAGACAAATTGAGTCCTAGAGCTGAAATGGAAGTAGTTTTCTGGATCAACCCCCTTTCTTGGAGTACATTAATATCTAAAACATCTGAACTAAAGCCACCCAGATTATCTTAATAATTAGTTCAGTAATTTCCAAGTGAAAAAGACTATATACTTGATTGCTATTTTGGTATTTAATAAAAGTCCATCCTCATTTAACATATGAATTGCCACTTCAAGTTGCCCTGATGCTGAATCTAAGGAGTAATTTTATAATTGCATAAAATTCTCAAGGGGCCTAACATGGACCTAAATATTTCTAAGCTCTCCAAGTATGTCTTAGTTATGAAGCAAAGATATGCCAAACACATGCTAAATACTAGTAACAACATATGTGCAGAAAGAATGATCAGTGGCAAAGCTTTTCTCTAAAAGAACCAAACTCTTCCTGTATCTGAAATACAGGGTGATAACTCAGTCGGGTATCATCAAAAGTGCTCCAGTTCCAAAATGACTTTATGACTACTTAGCCTTCAGAAGTCACAGCTACAAATAAAAGGCATATTGCTATGGAAACGACAGCAAAATGGCCAACCATTTTGCTTTACAGACATAATTTAGACATCTGAAAACTAGCTTTACATGGAGCTCTTTGTACTCTAGATAGCTGAAATCATTTCACCTAATTTAAGTCAAAAGTGAATGCTATATAATAACCTTATGAAAAAACAGCAGAGTCTAGCAATCAGCAAAAAGAACAAAAATAAGGAGACATGTTCTTTAAAAAGTGGCAATCTCCTTGAATATCTGAGTGTGATTAAAAGTGTGACTTTTAAGAGACAAAAAGAATACTAATGAACAGAAGAGAATGATATGCAGGCAAATGGTGATATGCTGAATATTTAATGTGAAGGAGGGAAAGGGGATAACTTCTTAAAACATCTAATATTCAGAAATCTCTAATTTTTCTTCACAGTAGACAGAAGTCAACTTAATATTACCAAAAGGAGTCCTGGCAGAAAAGAAAAGAACTGTGATAGCCCTCTTTAATTATGTGATTTTTCCTCTTTAAAGATCAAAAATTTCAATATAAGTTTGCCTCCAAGAAACAGTACAATGCCCAGCACACCCTGAAATTTGATCTTTTCCACAAAAGCTTTCAGACTGCAGATGCCATCATAGCACAACTGCTGAATACTTGAGAATACAAAATGCAAAGTGGGGAAGATTCATGGGCAGGAGAACCTTTGTAGTGATTCAAGTCCATAAATAAGGCTGATCTAGGTCTTAAAAGCTTTATCCATCATACTCAGACTCAGCATGGACTCTAAATCCCTGCTGTTTCTGTCACTTTTAGCCAATTGTTGGTTACAATCAACAACCATCAAGTCCTAATGACTGTCAAGGTCTGTTCTAAGGCCACAGAACACAAAAAGAGAAATGATGTGACTTTTCTGGCATCCAGTTTATTTTCCTGGACTTCTGGCATCAAATGTGTAAGGAGGACTAAGGAAGGAGAAAAAGCATCCTCTTTTTGGGTTGTCTTAGCTTTAAAAAAACACATGATATCATTTATTCTTCACCACTACCCTCTTAGGTGAAATTCTCACTTAAAAGTGAATTATCTAAGACCCAAAGAGATTGGGGAACTTGCCCAATGTCACACAGCTAATAAGTTGAGAAGCTGGAATTCAACCTAAATCTGTCTAATCATAAGCAATCCAATACCCAATCTACCTCATAGTGGTTATCAAACAAGTTTCCACTGAATTATTAAACTATCCCTATAGTAGGAAACCAAAAAAAGTGACTGAAATTTGAACTGAATATTTAAACTGAAAAGTCTGGAGATTTTAAAATGTTTAATTCTTATATATTGATGATACACTATATATAATACACATTATACACAGAATGTAATGGATACATTTCAGAAGAAAAATGTGTCAACATATACCAAATTGTTTTTTTAAAGATGTAATCCACTCCCAGGAATTAAGTCTCACAAAATAATCAGCAACATGCACAAACATGTATATATAAGGACATCCAGGGTTGTGTATAAGAGAGAAAACTTGGGGGAGAGGGGGTGATACCTGAATGTCTAACTACAGGAAATTGGTTAAATATATTATATCACACATATGCAATTTCTATATAATACCTGCTAAAAGCAATGATGTAGACTCATATTTACAGACATCAAAAACTACTCACAGCCCTAGCTGGTTTGACTCAGTGGATAGAGCATTGGCCTGAGGACTGGAGGATCCCGGGTTTGATTCCAGTCAACGGTACGTGCTCAATGAGGGCTCGATCCCCAGTAGGGGGAAGCCAATCAATGATTCTCTGTCATAATTGATGTTTCTATCTCTATCTCCCTCTCTCCCTTCCTCTCTGAAATCAATATACATATATACACACACACACACACACACACACACACACAATTCATTGTTAAGTGAGAAAAATAAAATGAATGTGTATATTACAAAAGCAAAGGAAAAAGAGGTCAGAAAAAATATACCCCAAAATACAGTAATACTTTTCAGTGGCTTTAAATTTTTACAATGTAAGGATTGTTTTACTATAACCAGAAAGGAAGAAGTCTGAAATCTCAACTACTGGTTACATAAAAATGTACACTGTTAATTAATAGCCCATTATAAAAGGATTTAAGTCAGCTACATTTACAGAATAAACATTAAATAAATTTGACAGAACTCTTATCAAGCATTTGTCACCAAGCCAAAAAAAAGCAGTTAATAAATATCTTCTGATTTTAATGCATGTGTCTAGTGATGCAATTTCCTTGTGAGTGATAAAAGATTACATGCATTATAATAAATTTATAATTTCTAGTGTAAGGAAGGTAGGTAGGTAGGTAGTCCTGTGCATCTTCAAGCATCAAAACCTTTCAAATAATTCCTTTTGATGCATGGGAGCATACTGCCCTCTGCTGGAGATGTGATTCTACATGGTTACATAAAATTTTCTTTACTAAACACCACTATGTACATAAGACACTGCACTGGGTACTGTGATCATCTGAGCTCTTTATTTTAGTCAACCTAGTCATCAAGATTCATTTAATACCCATCTATAGTAGATCATCATTATCCACAGTAGCTATGTTTTACAAAGTTGCTGAAAACACTGAATTAATGAAGAAGCACTGCTCCTGGGGGAAACAGGTTCTTGTGAACCTCTGGTTAAATTTTCTTCAACTGATTAATACAGAACCTATGTATGTTTCTATTTAAAGATACCTTATTTTACATGTGTGTGTGATTCATTTACACTGAAGTCACAGCCAACAGCACTCATGCCTGAACAAAGCTTATCTAACAAATATTTTCTCCATAAAGCACATCGTAGCCTTCTTGCGCTTAGAGACACTTCAGCACTATGCTTGGGGGGCATTTTAAACAGCAAAATCTCTAACAAAAGGTACAAAAATGTGAAAAACATAACACGAGACAGAAAAAAGGGCACCTTTTAACAGTATGAGAGCTGAAATGAGAAATCAGTGTTGCCTTGTTTGACCTCGGTTGGGAATGTGCCTGTTGGGTGACTGAAATTTTTCATTGTTCTATGCATATGCACGCCCATAAATAATTGTAAAAGCACCACAAATATTGATTTACAGTTACAAATAAATTTTAGCAAGTAGAAGAATTGGAAAATATAGAATCTGTGAATACCGAGGACCAACTGTATGATATAATGTCAACTATTTTTCTGTTTTGCTCAATACTAATACTATAATTTAACTGTTCAGAGAATGGAAATAATATTTAAGTCTCAGAGAAGATTAAATGAGCTACTATACAATTATCTGAGAAGATAACATTTAGACATTATTTCTATGGGAAAATTTTTGGAGTCTAAGCCAACAATTCACAAACAAGCTGGGGGTGGAGGGGAAATCAGTTGTAAATTGAAGATTAATATTTATGCAGAAACTCGCTAGAATCCAGAAGTCCATAAAACAGAACAATGAACTTGGTCCATACTCTTTGACCTAGAAAATTCCACTACTAGAAATTTAGCCTACGGTTGTCCTTGCCCATGTGTAACATGATATTGCTGCAGTTATGTAATAGCAAGAGATATGTCCACTGATAGCAGAATGTTAAATAATAGTACAGCTATAAATAGAACAGTTTGTTGGAAAGAATACAGTAGCTCTGTATGAAGTAACATAACACTATTGCCAAGATGTAAGTTACCAAAAAAAAAAAAAAGACAGAGGAAAAGCTGAGAGAAAAATGATGTAAAATACATGTAAATAAAAAACAAAACAACAGAAATAAAATTATATACTCGTGCTTCTACATGTACAGACGAGCTCTAGAGAGATGCACAAGAAACTAGTGGCAAGTGGTGTCTTTGGGCGGAGAACTACATGGTTAGGTACAGATGGGTGGGAGGCTTACTCATCACTATATACCCTTTTGTACTTTTGGAATTTTTTATAAACCCTGGTCTTATTAGCTTTCCATTTAAAATGCATTACATGATTGACAACTTGTCCATACTACAAGTCTCTCTATTCTTAACTCGTTATCCTCCAAATTTCTAATTACATATGAAAAATCAGAAAAAAAGACTCAGATACAGAGAACAAACTGATGGTTGCCAGATGGGATGGGCGTTGGAGGCTGTGTGAAAAAGGTGAAGAGATTAAGAAGTACAAATTGGTATTTTCAAAGTAGTCACAGGGATGTAAAGTATAGCATAGGGAATATAGCCAATGATATCATAATAACTATGTATGGTGCCAGGTGGGGATCACTTTGTAAGTTATATAAATGTCTAACCACTATACTGTACACCTGAAGTTAATATAATATTGAATGTCAACTGTAATTGAAAAAAGTAAAAATTTTAAAAATTTCTTTATAATTTTCAGTAGATACCTGCAACCTTACCTTAAATATAATTACAATCGGTATGTCTTCTGATAAAGTATTATGCCTCAAATAAAATCGTCCTTGTTTCACAGCCATATTGGTTCTGCTTTTTTTCTCATGGGTAGAGCTACAAGGAAATACAAGTTGGTTAAACTGCATCCCCATTTAGTTTCAAGCTACTAACATGCAATAGAAATGTATGTCAATCAATAAGGTTTAACTGATCAATTACAATCAGTGAGGTCCTATCTAATAGGTGCTTTTTAAAGATGCCCAACTCCTCTCCTGCCCCTGCCACTTGCATTTTAAACACTATAAATGTTTCTTTAGCTTTGAGATTATGGTGGAAGTTTTGTGGGTGAATTTATTTTGACCTACTTCACTTTGATTCCACCTGAACTCCTTGGATCCAATGTGGAGCATATATTCACAATCAATTTTATAGATTTGAAGAGAAAAACCTCAAAATGAGCCTGTATCATAATGAGAAACTATGAAGAAATGAATTTGTATACTAATAATCCAATAAAACATACCTATAGTCTGGGTATACTGTGAAGAAAACAAGAAACCTAAGGCAATCTCCTCTTATAGATCTCTATTCACTATAAAATTTCCAGTGGATTTAAAAACATTTCAACACTTTATTCATTCATAAAAGTAACACACACTAATCATCAGCTACATATTATGCACCTTTACCAATCTATTTACATTAGCTCTAATCTCATACATACTAAAACTTATTTTGAAGTGTTGCCTCCGAATCACATATGAGGAAACCAAGGCTCAGAGAAGCTAAGTAACTGCTCACCCAAGTACCTCATAGCTAGTAAACAAAATCTTTAGGATTCAAATCCTGATTGCCCTGGTTCCAAAACTGCAAATAGTGGGAAGACATATTGTAGAATTATTAGATCTGGGTTCAAATGCTTATTACCTCTGATGATGGATGTGACCTGCACTCAAGGTCTGTTACTCAACTATAAGACAGAGATAATATCACTTATCTTGGAGGACTGAGCTGACAAATAACATAGGTAAAGCACCTAGTATACTGCCTGGTTCCTAGTCACTGCTCAATAAATGGCCATTATTGTTAGTTGCCTCTCTATCAGAAAGAAAAATGAAGAAACTCTGAGTTAAGAAGTTCAATACAGGTTGTAAGAAGAAAAATTCTACTACACACTGACATCTTAACTATGTCACAAATTTTTTATATCCAGAATCCATTAACTTCCAAAATTCAAATTACATATGATAATAAGCCAGAGGGAAAAAAATTACAGTAGTAATATAAGGGATACTGTTATAGAAAAATGAGTATACTGTGAAAGAGACTGGTCTGAAAAACTAACAATAAGATGTTAAGTTCATCAAATAATTCATTAAATATTAAGTGTAAAATAGTCTCATATCAACAGAAATAATCAATAATAAAAATAATTTGGAATACATATGTAAAAATCCGGAAATATTTTTTATTTTTTTTAAAGTTCCTTTAATGCTACAAATTAACATAAAATTCAACTTTTAAAATAACTAGTGGCCTTTCAAACAATGTCTCATACATTCATCACAGAAAATTTTAAATCAATACTCTATGCTTACAGTGTTACACAATAAGTTGAATACAGATAGTTTAAATATTTCCCTGCCTATTATCAGAGAGAAATAACTGGGCACCTCCATATCAAAAGACAGCCATTTAATATTAATGGAATTATCAGTATTTCTTAAGAACACCATCTCTGCTTTCCATACCTGGTAACTGACGCACCAACTGTCCCTTTTCTGTCAGCCTCCACAATAATCCTGTTCTTAGACAGCTGCTCTTGGATAAGAATAACTTTCTCCACTCCTTTAACAATGAAGTAGCCACCTGCCCAAAGGAAACAAGATCAGTTCCACCACCTAGTCTTCTAACAGTGTGCTTTAGTAATCTCCTGAATTAGAGATCATTCTTCCATTGCTTCATGGCACTTGGCCACCACTTAATTCAAAGAGGTTTGCTGTTTTATTAATTAATGATAGTGTCAGCACATGATTTTATATAAAATGAAGCACAAGATAATAAACTTCTTGACAGGAAATGTATCTTAGTGTCTATGCATCACCAGCACCTGACACATATAGGAGGTGAATACAAGTAATTATGTTAAATAAATTAGACTGCAGATTTCTTAAGCAGAAGAATAGCTAACCATCTTCAATATAAACTGAAATTTGCTCTAAGTTTTCTAACAAATCAGTGATAATGGTAAGCTAGGTTTCTGTAATATTCTATACTCAATAAAACTCATAAAACATTACCATATATATTTTTGCACATAATTCAGAATATGACAAAGTGAGACTTCATTTTACCTTCAGAATAAAGTAGAAACAGGGCAATATATTTTACTTATGCAACATTTTATTATAGTCTAAAAGTCACGTTCTTTGTTAACTTCTTTCCAAAACCTTCTGGGAGTCTACATCAATGCAACTTTAAAGGAAGTAGATTAAAGCAACTATAAATTAAATCAGTGTGAAATATGAGTTAAGGAATTAAAAGAAACTTTCTGTTAAGTGCTAAGCTTGAAACTTTATAAAAGAAACTTCCTAAAAACAGGTAAAAAAATGTGATTTTTAAAAATTTAAACAGAAGACTTTTATTTCCCCCCTGCAATGCATTTAAACTAGCCTGAAATTAGATGTTTGAGTCTTTACAAACTAGCTAGATAGGTAACTTTGTGAGATTATTTTTTAATTTTTAAGTACACCAAAAGAGCATTACCCTGGAGCAAAGAGACAAAGAAAATACTGACAAACCACAGCAATAAATACTTGGGGTATTAAAGTTTTAAACCTGAAATAAAAGAGGAAACAATATATTTTTTAGAAATATAGACTAATAGAATAAAGTTGAAACCAAATTTCTGGACGTTTTGTAAACAAAGTTTTATCAAAGTTCGTTATAAAGCAGAAAGGCTGGTATTGTTTTAAGGAAAATGTTGAAAAACAAAAAACAAAAACAAAGGAAGTGGAGCAAATCCAAGGACTCACACATACCTGGATCTAAAGGGCATTCATTCAGTTTGGCAAATTCTGCTGGCGTTTTCCCTGTAAGAACACAGTTTGAACTACGAAGCATTATGGGCATTCTGTTTAAAATAAAACGAAAGAAATTATCACATAAAGATTGTCACTGGGTGTGTGTGAGTGAGCATGTGCGAGGGCAAGTGTACCTGTGAGTGTCTGAGCAAGGACTCGGGGTGAGCAGTTTGGGCTATCCTGGCGGAGGAGCCGTGAGGCCCATTGCCAGGAGTCAGGGTCCAGGGACCGCAGTATTTGCTGGGGAGGGGGCTGTCGCTTCCCCCGCCCGCTTCCCCAGCCCTGGGCGCCTCCAGGTGGCTGGAACCACAGGCTGGAGAGACTGAGAAGGATGCAGCTTGGTCACGAAGCCAGAAGTGCGGGGACTGAGGGGAGGCTGGACAAGCGCTGGCTGAGAAGGCCGTGGCGGGAGCACAGTGGCAGGAGACCAAGGCTGAGACTCAGGGGAGGGAATGGCCAGAACGCCAGCCATCATCCCACCTGGGAAGTTCACCCAGATCTGTGCTGCAGGAAGAGCCACATGGTGGAATTCAGGGACGGGGAGGGGTCTGACCCGCACACCCAGCAGTGAATCTGAGGGACAACTCAAAAGTTCCGGAAGAATTTTTGGCAGAGAGCAGGAAAGGGGCTGGACAGTGTGGCCCAGGAAAGAGCATTGGTCCTGCCCACTTAGGTGCAGGGGATTAATGCCTTCCCCCACCTGCAGAATGGCTGCAGCAACCTGAGAAAAGGGGGACCAGCTCTGGGCTGGAAATCTATACACCAGTGGCTGGGTCTGGTGGGTGGGGAACTTTGACAATGGCCTGGTTAGAGCCTGGGCGGATGCCTTGCCCAGTGGTCAGACACACTGAAAGACTGGAGTGCTAAGCAGGGATGATTTATTTATTATCCCTTCCTGCTCGAGAAGGTAGAAGGTAGCAAGGAGGTGCCAATGAGCCAGGCAGAGCTAAGGCATTGGAAGGAGTGGAAGTACCCACCACCCTTCTACAAGCTACATATACCACCCCCAAAACGAGTCTGTTTAAACCATCATGGCAGGACACAGAGCCCAGCTCCATGGAGGCAGGGAGAGTAGCTCCGAACAGGGACAGTCAAGCTGTGCGCCCCTAGGCAGCCCCAGCTTCTGGGTTATGGAGGCCCCGTCCACCAGACTACTTGGAGCTCGGCCCTGCCAGTGCTTCAGTCAGGTTGCCCAAAGGCCAGGCAGGGGCAGCAATAAACATTGGCTGGCACCAGAGAACCTATCAGGAGACCAGCACCAAAATATCAAGGGGCCTGATTCAACAACATCAGAGCAAAATCCAGCAAACTCCACAAATAGCAGATCCAAATATTTTTTTCTTTTCATATCTCTTTCCTTTTATTCGTTTTTCCTCTTTTTCTTTTTTTAAATTTTTCTGTTTTCTTTTCCCATTTTTCTTTTCCTATTATATATTTTAATTTATTCATTATTGTTACTTTTAAAAAATATTATTATTTCATTTATTTTTTTCTTTTCTTTTTTAATCTTATGCTATTTCTTTTCCTTTCACATTTTCTTTTTTAGGTTCTTTTTTCTCCTCTAATTCTTTTGGCCTCATATATTTTAGTATCCTTTCTTTTTCTATTTTAGTCCTTTTTGTTGTTGTTTTGTGTGTGTGTGTGTTGTTTTCAATTCAGTCTTGTTTTGTCTTGATTTGTTCTGTCAGCACCTATATAACTGTTGGCATGATGTGGTTGGGGTTGAGCCCAACCACAAATGTGACAACAGCAATCAAGACCCAAATATAACAGGAGGGCCCATTTAATCCAAGCAAGGGACATTCCTAGTGCTCCCAGCTCAGAAGATCAAGGAGACTACACACACCACGGGTCCCACAAGAAGTCCACTTCACCAAGACTGGGAGGCACAGCAGTCTTATCCAATACACAGAAACAAACACAAAGAAACAGCAAAAATGGAGAAACAAGAGAACAGGCCCCAAATGAAAGAACAGGAGAAATCTCCAGAAAAAGAACTAAATGAAATGGAGGCAAGCAATTTATTAGAAACGGAGTATAAAGTAATAGTTTTTAGAATGCTCAACAGCATAAAAAAGGGCACAGAAACCATGAAAAACAACCAGTCAAAAATGAAGAATAAAATAGCTGAAATAAAGAATACACTGGAAGGAATTAATAGGTTAGAAGAAGAGGATTGAATTAGCAAATTAGAAGGTAGAAAAAAAATCACTCAATCAGAGCAGCAAAAAGAAAAAATGCTTTAAAAGCATGAGGACAGTTTAACCCTTTGAGTGCCAACCAATATCCTAGGAACTATGCTAAAATTGCCAAGGCATTTTTGCTGATTTTACAGCAGTTTAGGAAAAAAATTATGAAGCGCAAATAAATGAAGTTACATATTCAAAAACTTAAGGAAACCTTTACTACATTGACATATTTAGCAATATCATCATCATTAATAAAAGCAGACTTAGAACTGGACGCCATTTCGAAGCTTTGATAGCGCTCCCGGCACTTTTGGCGAAAGACAGGAGGAGCACGATCGTGCTCCCCGGCACTCTAGGGATTAAGGGAACTTTGGGACACCATGAAACAGAACAACATCTGTACCATAGGGGTGCCAGTTGGAGAAAAAAGTGAATAAGGGATTAGAGAACCTGTTTGAAGAAATAATGACAGAACTTTTCTAACCTGGTGAAGGAAAAAGTCACACAAGTTTAGGAAGCACAAAGTCCCAATCAAGATGAACCCAAAGAGACCCACATCAAGCCACATCATAATTAAAATGGCAAACATTAAAGACAAAGAATCTTAAAGGCAGCAAGAGAGAGAGTTTCCATAAGGCTGTCAGCTGATTTTTCAACAGAAATACTACAGGCCAGAAGGGAAAGGCATGAAGTAATCAAAGTAATAAAAAGCAAGGATCTGAAACCAAGACTACTCTGTCCAGCAAGGCTATCATTGAAAACTGAAGGTGAAATAGCTTCTCAGACAAAAAAAAAGCTAAAGAAGTTTATTACCACCAAACCAATATTGCAAGAAAGGGACTGCTGTAAGAGGAAGAATACATATATATTTATTTATATTTATATGTTTATATTTACTTATTTACTTTTATTTATATACTAGAGGCCCAAAGCACGAAATTCGTGCAAGGAGCTCGGCTCTCGCAGCCACAGTGGCTTGCCTTGGCCCTCGCAGACCTGGCTTTGTCAGGAAAGTTGACTGGTCTAATTAGCACATTATGCTTTTATTATTATAGATTTAGAGAGAGAGAAACATAGTATAAAAAATAAAACGGGAGAGGACATTGGGGGGGATAAGGACACATTTGTAATATCTTAATCAATAAAGGGAAAATAAATTAAAAAAAAATAAAACGGGCATTAAATATGTATCTATCAATAATCTTAAATGGTAAATAGATAAAATACTCCAATCAAAAGACATGTAGCCTGAGTGTAGCTGACAAGAACTATATGATTATCTTTCTATTTATCTGAGCACCCATCATAGTGCATGACAAATAATGAGAGGTTGGTGCATATTTGTTGAACTAATGGATTGTTTATTAAGCTCTTAGCACTTTTGAAGGAGGAAAAACACTTGAATGGGAATTATGTGGAGTAAGTTTAAAGTCCAACATCATTCATAACCATTATTATTATTATTATTATTATTATTATTATTGTGGGTTTTGTCCATTTCTACAGGAGAGTCAATATATTTCTCTAGTTAGGACATGCAGACTGCAAAAATGCTAGTGATCATTTCCAAATCTGTTCTGGGTAAATAAGTAACTTCTCCTTTAAATACTGCTATATGAAAAACAGTTAAATGGCCATGAAAATCAAACTTAAGATATACATGAATCCACCAAGAAGACCAGTCCAGAGACTTCATTGAAATGCTTTCTTACCTAATGTTTTCCTAACAGCTTGGTATTATAGAGGAAATGAAAGCATTTTCCTTAACTTTATAGAAAACATTTCACAATTAAAAAACAATAACCACAAATATGTGCTGGATACTGCTGAAGTGTTTTATATCTACTGACTCACTGAATCCAGAAAATAAGCCATGAACGAGGCACCATTTCCCACATTTTTCAGATGAGGAACTGGGCAAAGAGACCTTTAGTTGCTCGAGGACACCTCACAGGGCTGGAATGCAGGTAGTGTATCTCTAATACCAACCTCATTTCTTACCTGCCAATGGGTAAAGCATTGCGGATGATCCTCTGGCTGCCCCGGGTATATTCAATATCCACTGTAATGGGGGCAGAGTATGTCATGTCCCGCAGGCGGCACTAAAATAGATTCAGACAGTCACTGCTCCTCCTCTCTGAAAAAGAAAGGTTCTGAGAGCTCCAAAGAGCTCCTTCTTTAGTAGAAGTATGGCTCACGTTGAACTTGGATCTGTCCATGGAACACCGAGCTATTACATATGCTACCTTAGGGCACTGGGAATGATGAGCCTACCTTCTCCTTGAGGGGATGATTCCAGCTATAGATCTAGCCATCACCACAGCATCTCCGCCCCTGCCAGCCCAGATATGAAACAATAAATCTGGTACTGATTTTCTTCTCTCTGATCTGATGTGATAACCAATCTGCTCCCATATCTTTGTTGCTGCCTTTTTCAAAACAGTTAACCAGTATAATAACTAAAGTACACACACACACATATATATACATACACACAAACTAAAAAGTTTAAACTATACTACCTTTTATTCTCCAAATAAACAAAACTAGATCACAAAATTCCTTAACAAATGATAGATTATAGCACAAATCATTCATCACATCGTTCTAATAATTGCTGAATCATTTGAGGAACTTTAGAAATTGCTTCTGAGTTTTATGTGGCTCGAAAAATGATGTCCTTTGCTGAGCCTTGATCAGACAGAGGAAACCTCATCAGAATCATCCAATGACTTCCCCATTATATTGATGGTCATCAGGTGGCTTGTAGTCTCAAAAGAAATTTCTCTGACCATCAACCTTACAATTTCTGGTGCTAAATCGTCTCTGTGGCTTCTACTGAACCAAAGATAGTTAGATTTAAACTTTTTCTAGTCTTTATCAATGCGCCTGAAATTTTAAAATATTAGATACTCCTATTATTGACCAACAGAAATTATTATTTTATATTTAACTAGAGGCCTGGTGCACAAAAAATTTGTGCACTCAGGGGGGGGAGGGGGGTCCCCCAGCCCGGCCTGTGCCCTCTCGCAGTCTGGGACCCCTTGGGAGATAACGACCTGCTGGCTTAGGCCTGCTCCC